TGTATGTATGTATGTATGTATGTATGTATGTATGTATGTATGTATGTATGTATGTATGTACGTACGTACATACGTACGTATGTATTCATATGTCTTAGAACATTGCTGAGGTACCTATGGTGTTAGTATACTCTTTCATATTACTGCCAGAGTTCTTGTGGAGTGGTAACAGTCCATTAGAATGTTTATTTTTTTATACTAGGTCAAAATATTTTTAAGTTTAGTGCAATATTTTAGATTTTGACTAGTAGCAACATTATATTTATTTGGGGAAAATATTTACATGATGCTAAGTATTGTGCTAATATAATAACAATAATAATAGAAATGTTTTTGTAATAATAAGATAAAATTCAGTCTTATAAATTTAGTTCAGGTTTTGTCCTTTGTGTGTGTGAAATTTCTTCAGAATCCCATCATTCCTGTTTTGTGAGCAGAGTTTTTCTTCATGCCGACAAAATGTAGAAATTTACTTTCTGTATTGTCTAGTAACCAGGAAAGTATAGGCAGCACTCATAAAACTATTATTTAACACTACAAAAAGTCAATAATGGACATAATGCAATCTGATACATAGAGCTAATATAAATGTAAATTGGGATGTAACTTTCTTATTTATTCATTTGCTTGCATTCAACACTGCCAGTTAAACTCCCCAAATATTAGCATTTGTATTTGGTATGGATTTTAGCACAATACTTCATCTTTCCCTCATCTTACACACCCTCTCTTCACCTTTGACTTTTTACAGTTGAATAAATTGAATGACTCAGTTCATGGTTTTTAGAAACCATAGCTTATCAAGTTCAGGCCTAGATGAATTTCAATTAATTTCAATTAAGAAGAGTGGAAACAAGCCAAATGTGAACCACAATTTATGAAATTCGTGTGCTTTTTATCCTCTTTAATCACAGTTTGCTTATTAGGAGATAAATTGAACTAACAATTAAACTAACTGAACTAAAACAAAAGAGGCAATTTCCTCTGTAGTCATGACTGGAACTAAAGATGAAAGGGGAGAAGAAGCTGTTAGGTCAAAAGGTAAATGAAGGACTGAGTGCTACATTGATCTACAACTATTTTCTGCTGAAGTTTTTAGAAAGTGTTAGTAACCACAGAATATGCTCTGACGAATTGCATTATTTTCAGTATGACATGCTTACCTAGAACAGTGAGGAAAGCCTTGGATGTCTTGACAGGCATAGTAAATAAAGAACAGGTATATTGCCCTTCATCTGATAATGAAACATCGGTGACTCTAATGGTCAATTCATGCCATGAAGCTCGAAGCAGTTCAATCCTATTGTCCCTCAAGGCTGTAAATAAAAAAAGAAATATTTATTTATATATATGTATTCATTAAAAATTGACAGTTTTAATTTGGAGCTAGACTATCCTCTGTGCAGCATAGTTTAACTTAAAAAAAATNAAAAGTAGAGCATGAGGGAAGGAAAGGAGGAGAAGCATAGAAAGACCAGAAAAATAATGAAAAGGAATCATACCCTTCATCCATTCAATGATGTTGACAGATCCTATGAAGAAACATAGGAAGGCATGGAATGTTGTAAGTACACAAGACAATTACAGAATTTAAAAGGATAATATAGGAAGGACAGTGAGGAAGTTTGGCTAAAGCTAGTACACCATGAAAGCTTACTGAATACCAAAGAGACCAGCTGATGTTTAAAAAAAGTCAAAGATCATGGCCAATACATAAACAACTCTACTAGCAGACAAAGCATATAAATATGAGACCTGGCATATTCTAAGAGAAAAAGGTCAGGACTAATTCTGACTTCAGAAAATCAAACCTTAAGAATAAATGCATATAAAGCCAGACTTGAGAAGACAACAACCAATAGCAAATGCCATCTCTGCAAAGAAGTTGAAGAAATAGCAGAACACCTAGTTAGCTGCTGCAAGAAGATTGTACATACTGACTACAAATAACAGCATGACAAAATAACAACAATGTTGTGTTGGCAAATCTGCAAGAAATACCATTTGCTTCAAGAACTGTGGGGAACACAAAATTGGGGGGAAAACCAATATAAAGTGAATATTTTAAAGCTCTCTGGAATTAAAGCAGTAAAAGTATTTTAACATAACAACTAAGACTTAACTATTGTTGATTAGAAAGACATGGAGTACATGGAAACAGTATAATAGAAGTAAAAGAACTGGAGAAATGCACAAAATAACGAAGATCTGCAAATAGAATGACTCGGGCAAAAGGAAACATATATAGTACCAATAGTACTATAGGCTTCTTGGGTGCAATACCAAAGCAACTAGAGCACCAATGTATGCTGTCAACACTGACAAAATCACCATTAGTGAATCACAAAAGGTAGATTTACCTGGACAGATATTCTGAAATGATACCTTTAATGCAATCAAACAACATCATTTGTCTATTGCAGAACCTTGGGAAGTACTCTACTCAATAAGTGAACAAAATGCCAAATCCAGTTTAAACATGTGACCAAAAGTAAATTATTTAATTATTGTTGCAGTCACAAAGACTCTGGGTGGCTTACAAACCAAACATTTTTTTTAAAAAGAGAAAAATAGAAAAATAATGGCAAGGATCAGAAATCTAGATAGGAAATGGATCCACCAAAACTATCCTTCCTTAAGATGGCATTTTTGTCTTTGACATCCTAATATATAGCATTTCGAGATGAACAAAAATAGACATCCTTGATCTGAGATTCATATAAATGTAAGTTCTTTCACCATTTGATTCATGCACCAATGAATCCTACTGCCTTCTGGGGAAAAAAAAGCTTTTTATAAATTGCGCATATACCTAAAAATAATTCAGCTTCTTTGTGTTGTATAATGTACCATGGCTTTGACGAACATTTAGAAGTGAGCACATCTGTCAAGTTCTATTTTGTTCAGTCTTTCATTATATAATCCTACAATTAAAATTACAGCACTTAGGTTTTTTTCTTTGTTATGCTTATTTCTATTAATAAGTGATTTTTTGTGAAATTTAATTTATTATTAAATTAAATANAAATGCTTCCTTAGCAATGGAAATTTGGGATTTAGTTGTGGTCATAAGTGGAGAACTACTTGTATTTTTCAAATAGAAACCTTTACCATAGATCTCTGCTAAAATATGTTACTAGTATCTTGAACGCTGAATATTCTCCCTCCTTCAAAAGCATGTTTATCTGTTTATATAAAAATATATTTTTCTTCACCCTAAAAGGTATTTATTTTTTTAAAATAGCAAAATAAAAAATGAATGTGAGAAGAATTATTAAAATTGCAAATTTAACTGGTAAAAATCTCTTAAATGCAAAACTTATCAATGGGCACACTAAGTAAATTCATAATTAAATAGTTTAGTAAGCACACTTAATTATTTGAGATTTATCAAGATTTATCAAAAATCAACAATGAAAGCTAACCAATATTATCAGCAAAAATGAAGGATGAATCTCATATTAAAAAAACAGCATAAAAAGATATAGCAGAAAATATTGTAGAATTTATTTAATGTTGATTAAGCTGATTGCATTTATAACCCTCCTCTTTGTCCTGGAACTATTCGGCAATGTATGTAGGATATAACCAACATTATTTCCACAGTAACAAGGAGGGATATTGTAGTGAAAGTGAGTGATAAGTTTCCCAGTCACTCCTAAGTTATTCCAAGATGAGAGTCTCAGTGAGGATTCTAATGAGGATCTCCTTGGCAGGAGTACAATAATTCAACTACTATATTTAATTCTTGGTGTTCAATTATCTCAATTGTGTCTGTGAGAGTGTAAAATATATGTAAATATGTAAATATTTCCAAAGCTGCAATGTGTAGGAGTGTGAACAAAGCACCTTTTTTTTTTTAAAAAAGGCTGATTTTTGCAAGTTTCACAGAACATCTGCATAAGCTGTTTCTGTCTCTCTTTACATGAATGTTCATGTGCAGACAATACTTCCACAAGAACCACTAACGAAGTGAATATGCAGTTATTGTACAAACATGAAAGCTCCTGAAGTATGTATGTGATTCTTGTAAAAACCTGGATGTTTTAACAAAATTGCAAATTGCTCCTTCTTATACTTTGGACAGGACAATAGAGTACCATAATCTCAGTGTTATTGGCTAGATAATCCTTTCTGTTTACTATACCAAACATGTGGTGTCTCATAATGCATTAAGAATGAACCTACCTTTATATACATTTTATTTGCCTAAAGAATTTCATGATATTTATAAAATAGTCTGAAACAAACTAGGTACTTCCAAAATATTAATCACAGGTTGGAAATTTAATTGGTAAGTGTCCGTTAAGAATGCATATATGCTCTTTTATGCCTTGCTATTGAAAAAGAAGTAGAATGGAGAGAGATGAAGAAAACGCTAGGGAAAATAAAGAAGGAAATACTCCAATTTGCTGGCATACTTGGTTAGAACTGATTCCACTGGAATATCTGAATATCACTTCTGTGGATATTCTATCAAATGTGAGAATCCTCTGATTTAGTAATGACCAGAGTGCTTATCTAAATTTATCCTGTAGTACTGGAGGTTTTGCCCTTTTCCATAATTAATGTATATATGTGTACAAATATATACATACATACACACACACACAAACAACCAACTTCCCTTTCTAGACGTCCTTATCTACAAAAAAATCCAATGGCTCCTTAGGACACATCATCTACCAGAAAAAAACATACACCAACCGCTACTTAAACGCACAATGCCATCATCACCCTGCACAGATCAACTCTGTAGCCAAGACCCTCATCTCCAGAATCAAACTCCTATCTGACAAAGACCACCTGAAATCAGAATTACACACTCTCACAAATGTATTAATCTCCAACAGATTCCAAAAAAAAACCAAACACA